AAATAAAAATGAAAACATTTTCTGTTGTCGACTTACTATGACCTACAAATCATCTTCACCAGCCGTTGCAGGACAGTCCTCTTGATTGTTTCATGGCGCAGATCGATCCCGATAGTAGAGCTGCATCCAGGGGAAGCACTTGGAAAACGGGAACGGGAACGCGGCGGGGAAGAGAGCGAACTGGTGAACGCGCCATTAAGAGCTAATGGACAACGGTTCGCTCCCTGCGGCCGTTTCTTCACGTGTTCACGGCACGCTCCGTTCTCTCACTTGGTTCCCGAGAAGCCCCCCTGATACGTGGGTGCATTGGGATTCCGTGGGTACCTGACCCTGCACAGAGTGTCTCTGCGCAAGCTCAGGCACCCAATGCACCCAATGCACCCATGTGCTGGACACGGAACGGACACAGCTTGGGTTGCACGACCGCGTACTCGGCACAGCTGTGTCGCCATGAGAATATACACACACATATTAACGCTCCCTCCCCTTTCCCTTCCCCTTTCACAGGTACATGATCGTCCGCTTCGTTCCCCCTCTTTCGTCCTGACTTGGACGCTTAGACGGAGACGGTTCCGCGAGTGCTTCAAATCAGAATCTCCCTCCCGCTACTCGAATCTCCCTCCTGATCCATCCAACACCTCCTAAAACTCCCCTTCGCTTCATAGCCTCAGAGAAAACTAAGGAAGAAGAGATGGAAGAAGAAACAGCTGACGACAAAGACAGACGATACAAAGGTCAATAACAAAACATTGTACATATTGTGTTGATGAGCACTATATTTAAAACCTGCGTTCGTAAGTAAATATTTCAGTCGAAGAGAGCTCCTTTTACTTGTGACCGTGTTGTCCCGTTTTTGTTCATCATGGATACTATTTATGTAAGTGTTGTAAACAAAAGTGAAGGTTATGAATCTTTGTCTTGGAATCTGTCAGTAAAATGATTTGCTTTATACTACTGGATTATTTCTGTAGACAGCGATTTTTTTGTCGTTATTTTCCATTTTTACTAAATTTCTGACTTAGCATATCATCATCAAAAGTTCTGTTGGAAATTCTGTTAATTTATTTATCAATTATACTTGTGCGCCTAATAATTCTTTTTCAAATTTCTTTCACAGCCTGTATTTTATGCAATGACAAGGGGACTACGAGACAGTCTACAAGGAGCGACTGTTCTCCTAACTCTTGACAAAAATATTCAGGAGCGTGAAGACCAGATAAGAAGAAATACTCCTCGAAGGCACAGAGATTCGCAGTAAGTGTTAACAACCACAAGATGCTATCTTTTATGTGTTTTTGGACTGTGTTGTCTGAGAATGTTTTACCCTCTGGGAAACAAATATATAACGATTCAGACAAAGTTTTAGAGCCAACGTTTAACTTGTCCATTTACTAGATAATTGAGGAAAGTGCTCTATTTTTATTACTGTTTGTTTTGTGCTGACAATTGTACAATTATGTAGTTAGTAAAGAGACGATATTAATTCACAAAATTTCAAAAATGGTTCCATTTTTCATTTTACAGCCAACCAAGTGTTATGAAAAGAATAATGCAGTGCTGTGGTCTGAATGGGGGACTATTCTGGCTAAGCATGTTTTTATTTGAGTATGGATTATTACCAACCCTTAGCATGCTGCTCACATTTTTGTTTGGATACGAGTCCGGAACACGACAGCTTGTTTGGTCGTGGCTGCAGCCTGCATTGTCCTGTACATTTGGTGCAATATGGGTTATACCCTTGTTTTTTTTAAGTAAATTCATCAATAATCTGTGGTTTCAGGTTTGTATTTTCATGTTAATTGGCTTTAAAGTGTTTAGTAACATCTTGCATGTCTGAAAACATGTGTATGGTTTCAGGATATTGCCAATTCAGCATATCGATATAGCCGTGGAAGACCTGTGATGCTGAGTAATTTTAGCAAATTAATAGCTGACTTTTTATTTAGTATACTTGTGCAAACATTATTTCTGATTCAGGTAAATATCATTTCTTCTGTCACTAATATGTTTTGTTGCTTTGATAAACCCTTAATTTTGAACAAGAACTAATTGATCTGTGTACCCCAACAGAGCTATCTTGTCAGCCTTTTACCACTAGCAGGCTTGGGAAAAGCATTTGCTTTACTTCATACATGCCTTCTGTATTCATTGTATTCATTTGAGTACAAGTGGATCAACATGGGCTGGGAGCTACATCACCGCTTGACATTCATAGAATGTAACTGGCCATACTTTGTTGGATTTGGCTTACCACTAGCAATTCTTACTGCCTTACCTAGCTCATATTTTGTGAGGTAAGATTGAATACAAAAGCAATTGTTCAAATAAATTTGTTGTAGTGGTTCTTACATATGACAATTTTCTACTATAATTTCAGTGGCTGTGTCTTTTCTATTCTATTCCCTCTCTTCCTAATAAGCGGAAATGAAGCGTCACCTGAGACAGGGGCATGGTTAGTACATTATGAATTAAAACCATACTACTGTGCAACTAAACATAACATATTTGACTGATTTTTAAGCTGATCCAAAAACCTTCTTCTTGTTTTTCAGCACTTTTCCTCTACAGTTGTTCTCTCCTGTAATAGCAATATCAAATGCCATTTTTAATAGGTCGATTGGCTCTGCAAGTTCAAGACGATGACAACTCCCCCCATTTTGGAAATGGTGGTTCAGTAAAATATTCTTGTGGGAAATAGGTGCTGGTTGTTTTGTGCTACTCCCTTAAATATTTGGTGAACAAGGCTTGTGCATTTGCATAAATGAGTGTGTTGTTATATCCTGACTCTTTTAAGACTCAGTTTTGTGTTATTTTCCATGGTGCTATTAGTAACCCATCATAGTGCCTAACCTGTCAGAAATAAGTAATTAGCCTGTGTCTTGATTGTTTTGCCAATTTTTCAATTTCTTTCTTTGTGCAATAGTTTACACTCTCAGAAAATATGTTTGGGACATGCTACAGATTATTGTTTTCTACTGCCATCGGCAGTTCTTTTTATCAATGAAAATTGTTCTATTTAACCTTTCTGAAAAGAATATTTTGTTGCATAAGTGCCTTATATATAAGGTTGTATCAAATAATTCCAATCAAGCTATTGGGGGCGTACAACTAAGCTCTCTGTCTTTTTTTAGAAAATTTATATTTTTTTATTAATTTGGATATGATATTTGTCGTGTTTAATACCGATAATCTTATTTCACCTACTGTTTAAGAACAGAAAATTTTAGGACTATCAAGTTCCACCCTCAAGGTGGATTTCTTTTATGTAAACCCGAAGTAGAACCATGCTTAAGTTGAAGACACATCCTAACTCTCCTTCTCAGCAGTTGACAGCTGGGTGTATGGATTCAGTTTAAGCTTGATTCAACTTCAGAATCACAAGACTAAATCCCTCTTTCTGCTTCATATCAGTTTTAATTCAGGAATGCTTAAAGTTTTGGTTGAAAGGTGATTTCAAGTTTTAGATACAACAAATCAAAATATTTACTGTACTAGAGGGAACTGGTGAACTACACCAGGATCGGACAAGTATTTTCTAAGTCAATAAGGAGCTTAAATATAAGATAAGTAACATGGATAACAAAGCATCTGGCTGTGATTGATTTAAGCTCTCAACTGGATGTACTTTTTTATCTCCTATGGATTGTTTGATGTGGATCTTAATAAACACAACTTACTTTTGCTAACTAGTGTATAACATTTTTATCATTTACCACAAGAGATCCATCATAATTCTGAAATAAACTCAATAGCCAAAGTAAACCGGAAGTTGCCAAAAATTTTGATGTCTGAATTACATTTACCCAAAAAGCGTACACTGTTATAAACATTTTTTGGCAGCAGCAATTTTGGAAAGGCACAGTCACAAACTACCCACCAAGTCAAATATTTCTTGGTTTAACTAGAAACAAATGTGTGTACACCAAGAGCCCAGAACACCCTTTATTTTGGCGGGGGGGATGTTGTCATGGATGTTAAGTTGATGTTTCCTGGTGAATGAAAAAGAAAAGCAGATTTTTTTTTTAGGTTTTATATTCTTACATTTTGAGATTTTAAGCAGGACAGATTATAAAGTCCCATGTTCAGATTCTGACTTGAAACTAGATAATGTTTCAATACCCGAGGACAGGGCAACAAAAATATTATCAGCTCAGTAATGCTACATACCTATATATTAAGGGCAATGTATGGAAATCAAGTCGGGAGAATGCAACATTTACTGGAGATATCGGGGGACAGTACCAGGCTAGACTGGCATCATCCCGGGCACCTTGCATAATGTCAAATTTCATAATTAGAACAATAGAGATTCGGTAAGGGTATTCGATAATGTCTGTTTTACGTATTAATTACAGATAACCCAAGGATCAATTGCCATGAGATTACCCTATGTGCACATTACCTGAGTAGACAAGGCATTACGACATTACTCAAGTAATGCCAAGAAAATGAATTCTGTCCGATAATTACCATGAAATTGCCCTTCACAGTTGGTTTATGTTGACATTAACGGACTTCCAGCATTACTCGTAAGATAACACAAAAAAGTAAGACTAAATAATTTGGAAGTTTATCACATACATGTCAATCTTACTATATCTAAGTAAGATTAGCATAATTAAGAATACTGACTTAACATTAAGCCCATAGTTAAGATTAAAGTCAAACAAAATATATCACAAGGTAAAAAATAAATTTGATGACTCTATAGAGATAAATTCAAAATTCAGTCTATGCATCATGGAATATCAACAGCACTTTCCAAATAGTAACAAGAAGAGGTAAGTAATAACTGAGCAAACATCTCCTAGAGTACTTAAAACAAACTTCAATATCACTTGAAATAGTGGAAAACATAATTCATGGAGAGACATACAATCAAAATGTATGTAGTCAAATAGTACGATTTCAGAAGGAAAAGCGATGATGTTTAAGTCTTAAATACGGTAGATTATTGTCCACGCATAAGTAAAAAATAATTTACAAACAATAAATTTTAGTAGGAATTACTTTCAATAGGAAAATGTCAAAACAAATAATCACATTTTTAAATCTTCAACTACTGAAGTAGCACCTAATTAACTAAGAAATAGTTTAAAGAAAACTAGCAAAATGCATGCTGTAGCCCAAAGAAGGACTAGCACTACCCATGTTGCTCCCTGAAATGGAGAAGCAAACATATTGACTGAGTCTCCTGAAGGTAGTCTTTTAACTTCTCTACGAGCAAAGAACACTAGAAGTGCAGGTATGATGTACTGAATACCAGCACCCGCAAAAGATCCCGTTATTCTAACTAGAATCTCAAGATCTTCTGAAATCAATGCAACCAGCACAGGTGGTATCTGGAAAAACATTTGAGTTTTTAAATTAGGAAATGAAAATACACACTAGATACAAAATTCTTTGGCTGAACTTTGGCTCATCTCAACTTACCACAGAAAGAAAGGGGAAAAGCAAATGTTGAACTATCCACGGATATGAAGCAGTGTTACTTCCTACAGTGGCATTTTGTAAGTTATTTTTCAGAGTGATGGCAATGATAGGGAAGCTTGTGCTTAAAGTGAAAACAGGAAATAAGGCAAGGAAGTAGCCTATAATACGCATGAATGTGGAGTCTTCTATGTCTGAAGCTGAGCAACGGGGATTGAAAACGAGAGTGTACAATTCATCTGGCTGAGAAAAGGCAAACACTCCAGTAAGAGACAGCAGAAGGTAAAAACTTGCAATCAGTCCATAGTCCAATGCTAGTAGTCTGTAATAAAGAATATCTTTGTCAGTCCAACAAAAGTGAAAACTTGAAATTTTTAATTGAAGAAAAACCACCACACAAAAAATGTGAAGGACCTATAGGTACAACAAATTAATAGGGCATACCAGAGGCTTTGCAAAAACAATTACCTTTTCATTTGATTATTTCCAGAAATGGGGGCAATAAGACCAGGTAGGGAGTGGTGACACATGAAAGAATACACACTAGCTCCTAAAAGGGCTGGCAAACCACTGATATTAGCTACACTAGGATGACCTTCCGGACCTTTTAGAATAAGCTGCCTCACTGCTAAACTGATCATGACAGTAAATGCTATAAATAGAATACATGATATAAGTATATCTTGTACAGTTCGGCATATTTCAAAATTATATATAATCTGTATAGATAAATCAGCTTACCCAGCCAACGCATAAAAGATGTGAAGAGTTGTAGGTATTTGGTCTTTTGAACATTGAAAAATGCAAAAGGACCCATGCATGCGAAGAAAATGGCCTTTGGAACAGAAACCAAAAGTCGGTAAGAATAAAATACAAGCTTAACAAGGAAAAACAGATTTAACAACAGATAAAAGACATACTTACAATTAATATTCTGTAAATGGATAACCTAGTAAATGAAAAACCCTCCCAACATTCTGTGTTTGGCGATAGATTGTCTCCACAAGATGAATTAACATTGGGTTCGTATGTGCTGAGAGTACAAAGAAAATTATGCTACACATTTAGCTAACATTGGATACAGGCAATGGAGCATAACCGAAAGAGTAAAGATCTCACCATATGACATCGCTGAGTGATTTAGAAACAACTGCAGTATATATAGCTAAATCTCCATAAAGATATATGGCAAAGCAGAGAAAAAATAATATTTGCCCAAATCGTCCAAAAAACATGTTTGCCATATCACTCTGGAAGGCAATACAAATAAAAGTGGTCATTATTCTGAAAACAGTGGAAGATGTCTTTAAAGTCTCAACAGTGTACATACCATTTCCAACTTCTCACTCAAGCTGTAGAAGTGGCGAGGTTGACTGGGGAATCTTTCCAGAGCATCTAAAAATTTAATTTAAAAATAGGATTTGAAAACCTTTTAGTCAACTTTACTAGCATAAGAAAATTGCAGACAAACCTTCTGTAGGCGTAAACAGAGGGGCATCTTCATTTGTTTCATCAATTTCGTCTTCTGTTTCAGATTGGTTTATTTGATTTGCCTGAAAGATAAATTCTTATCATCAAATATAAAAACTTAAGCCAGTAGTATTGAAGCACCCATCAAATAGATATCAAGAGACTATATATGTTTAAACGTAAGTCTATGTAACAGCAACTTAAAAACATTACCAAGGGTAGAATGAAAACAGAAACTTACCCGCGATATTCTGTGGCTTACTCTTGATAGTATCTTCATCCTCTTGTATCGTACAATAAAATTAGCACATGACAAAGCTTCCAAAACAAATGTGGCAGTTATATAGCTGGAATCAGATGTAAAATGGAAGAACATGTTACACCGAGACATTACTAAAGATTACACAACATAATTAATGCTTAGTAGGTACATACCTTACAAAAGCTAGAATAACAATCAAGCCTACACCTAAGCCCCAACCCGCTTTCAGAAATGAAGCTGGGAGGGTGAGAGCCCCTGTGCCAACTATTAAGTTGAAGATGTACACCAAACCAGTCTAGAATGAAAAGGAAAGTAAAGAAAGATGTATCATAACTTTCAACAGGATAAATTATGACATCACATATTGACATATGAAGATGAATCAGATTTAATCTAACAAATTGAACAATGACAAACACAATAACAAAAGTAGCAGAGGTTATGGCTATCATAAATAATTTCAACTTTTTGGCCGATTACAAAATGCCACTGAAGAAATCAAGTATCTTTATGTTTAAGAGGTAAATATAGGAACTTGTAAATCACAAACACCATAAAATTACTTCTGTAAGATAAAATAAATAAAACAACTAACCCATGGTGAGTACTGATCGTCTGCTGATATCGCTAAAGGCATTGTTTTTCTCTTTAAGATCCGTGATACAACACGCCCACCCTCATTTAAACATGACAGTTGTTAAACAGCCCCAATATGCTTCCCAGCATTACTTGATAGCAAGTTTTCATTCACTTCACTTTGCTATTGTTCTTCGACATATGTGCTGATGTCTGCAGCTGTTGTCCTCCGTCGTGTTGAGTGTGTACTCTTTGCGCTTGCGCAATGCGCACTGGTGCCAACTGCCCTTCGTGAAAGACCCTACTGAACGACTGATTTTTGAATGAAATGGAATCATAGTTTCTTGGTAGTGTCTTGACGAGAGTTCAGAAGTTTCAACGGAATTGATTGATAACACCCTCCAATCCCAACAAAGGGGTGAAGTAAATTGGTCCTCAAATTAAAGGAATCCAGCAAATGTGAATGAGTTGTTGCTGGACTTAGACCACCCCCAGTAAATTGTGTTTCAATTTGCCTTCTAATTGTACTGAGCGCCGGTTCAAGATTTAACACCAGCCAGCAGATAGAACATATGTGGTGTGAGGAAAAGGGTAAGAGTGATAGCTCCAGGGTTATTAAATAATTGATAATGTTTATTTCCCATCAATGAATTCACACTTCTGCACATGGGAATAAATTAATACTTTGGCCTAGTGCACTTAGTGATCACGATGAAAGGATTCACATGAACCCTGAATGCTTTAAATATTTAGGAAACAGCCATTACACGCATGAAAATTCCCTGAAAATGTTTGACGTCTTTCCAAAATATCTTACATGATGAAGTTGAGCTTAAACGGTCCATTTAAAAGCAAGTTTAAAAATGAACCCACCAGACTGAAGGTGACCTTAAATACTAGATGTTCAAATAAAATAAAGGCAGCCTAACAGTTTGTAAAAAGAATGAAACATAAACAAAAGATGGAATCACTTTTATAATACAACTGCATGGTGACGATGTCTGATGAGATGGCCGCCTGCCACTTCTGTCCGGCACACCCCTTGCCATAGGAATGTAGAACAATAATCTTAAAGTCATGGTGAAAAAATTTAGAAGCACTTCCTGTGGACAATGGAAGGGCCAGACTCGTCGTACTCTTGCTTGGAGATCCACATTTGCTGGAAGGTGGAGAGGGAGGCAAGGATGGAACCACCGATCCATACGGAGTATTTCCTTTCTGGGGGAGCAATGATCTTGATCTTCATTGTTGATGGGGCAAGGGCAGTGATTTCCTTCTGCATACGGTCAGCAATACCAGGGTACATGGTGGTACCACCAGACAGGACAGTGTTGGCGTAGAGGTCCTTACGGATATCAACATCACACTTCATGATGCTGTTGTAGGTGGTCTCGTGGATACCACAGGCTTCCATACCCAGGAAGGAAGGCTGGAAGAGAGCCTCAGGGCAACGGAACCTCTCATTACCAATGGTGATGACCTGGCCGTCAGGAAGCTCGTAGGACTTCTCCAGGGAGCTTGATGAGGCAGCGGTGGCCATCTCCTGCTCGAAGTCCAGGGCAACGTAGCAGAGCTTCTCCTTGATGTCACGGACAATTTCACGCTCAGCAGTGGTGGTGAAGCTGTAGCCACGCTCGGTCAGGATCTTCATGAGGTAGTCTGTGAGGTCACGGCCAGCGAGATCCAGACGGAGGATGGCATGGGGCAGAGCATAACCTGAAGGAAAATGAATGAGTTAGATAACATGGTCAAACTGGTTAAAGGAAGTAAGGCTCATAACTCTAACAAACATACCTTCATAGATGGGGACTGTGTGGGAGACACCATCACCAGAATCCAAGACGATACCAGTGGTACGACCAGAGGCATACAGGGAAAGGACAGCCTGGATGGCGACGTACATGGCGGGTGTGTTGAAGGTCTCAAACATAATCTGTAAAAAGGATATATCACAATTAGGTTGATGAAATCCTAAACATGATCAGAATTTTAATATAGTAATGAACACAAGTTACCTGTGTCATCTTTTCCCTGTTGGCTTTAGGGTTCAGGGGAGCCTCTGTGAGCAGGACAGGGTGTTCCTCAGGGGCGACTCGGAGTTCATTGTAGAAGGTGTGGTGCCAGATCTTCTCCATGTCGTCCCAGTTGGTGACAATACCGTGTTCAATGGGGTACTTCAGGGTAAGGATACCTCTCTTGGACTGGGCTTCGTCACCAACGTAGCTGTCCTTCTGTCCCATACCGACCATGACACCCTGGAATTCAATACATTCATTAGCACGTGCAAACAGATTACAATGACCAAAGAAGCAAAGAGCCCATTGTAACAAACAAAATTAAAGTTATGAATCTCACCTGGTGCCTTGGTCGGCCGACGATTGAGGGGAAGACGGCCCTGGGAGCGTCGTCTCCGGCAAAGCCGGCCTTGCACATACCGGACCCATTGTCCACAACGAGGGCAGCAACATCGTCGTCACACATGTTGATAAATTAGTAACTGCGCAAAAGAGAGGAACAAACGGATTAATTACAGGCAATTAAACACCGGAGAGAGCAATGGTCAGGAGTCGCGAGAGACGCTGCCTCGTGGCGTCCCGGGCAAGTGCCACACCCTAACGGCCACACCGGAGCCGGCCCCGGCCGGAGGAGAGACCCACCCACCCCTCGCTGGCTCAAAGATACCTGCGCACGCCCAACTAGACCCCACACGGCTACACAAACCCGAACACGAGGCCCAAGCGAAGCCCGGAAAGAGGCCGACCGGAGCTGGCCTACGGGCCACGGAGGCAAGGGGAGAAGGGCTTCGACCTCTGGAACATTCCAGCCCAAGACGCCGGTCGCACCGAGCCGCTCCGAGCCACGCCAAGCGAGCGGCTGGGCTGCGTCAGAAAAAGTTTCGGCCCGGAGCCGTCCCCGCTTTCGACAGCCGCCCGAAGGGTGGACCCTCGGAGGCAGCCCAGCCGGCCGGCTCGGAGCGGAGCCTACAGCCTAGGCTGGGGGGAGGGGTGGCGTGGCAGCCCGAGCCAACCGGCCCGACCCTCCACGCCCAAGCCACTCGAAATCTCACAGCCGAAAAACCGTTGAATTTCAAAAGATGAGCGAAGGGGTAATCCAAATGGGCGGACAGCAAGTCCAAAATCGCACGAGGCACAGCACTCTGATAATCCAAGTGAGGCACAGCACTGGAGGCGTAATCCAAAAGGCACACGGGCACAACACTGCTGGTATTCGAACAGCAAAGTTCGGATGAAACTAGTGTCCAACACTGCACTGGGTCGCAAGTAATGTCCAAAGAGCGCCCAGGCCACTGCAAGCCGCCGGGCCCCGCCCATGCCAAGGCACGAGGCCGTCGCACTGCACCGTCAAATCCAGAGCGGGTCGATGGCGAAATCGGCGAAATCCAAACGAGAGGCGCGCACAACACAAAACTCCAATAATCCAAAAGTGGGACACGGCACAAGACACTTACTAGGATTTACGAAAGGTATGTACAAGAGGTGATGTTTCACTAAGCGATGGTAGCACCAGACTGACTCGGGTGCCCGGCCGTTGGAACAGTAATATAAAGGCAGCCGCGCCCCCTCCCCTCCAGCGCCGCTAGCGGCTCCCCCTCCACCGCCGCTCCTCCA